CACAAACACACACACACACACGCACACACGCACACACACACACACAGACACACAGACACACACGCGCACACACACACACCTGCTGGGTGATTTATTAAACTCCCTGTGATGGTGAAACGGTTGTGTATCTAGAGACAGGACAAGTACTTCGCTCATTTGCAACTAGTCTGATTAAACTGTCACGAAAAATGTCCCTGGGGCAAATATAATGTGTTTAGCACCTCCATGTGCACATATTGAAAAGGCTTCTTCTGCACACATTCATTACAGAGCCTGCATAATTTAAGGCTTATTGAAATGAGGCCAGGACCAGTCTCAGAGGAACCACTCCACTGATCCATATTCCCCACATCAAAACCAAAATAAAACTCATACTGTAAGATCGAGGGTATATAGCAGCAGGTAGTAGGAGATCAAGACCCTTTCAGTCATAAAAGTTTTTACAGAGGGATTTATAGTTCCCCTCTACAAGAGATGAACAGGCCTGTCACGCTGTCAGAACTTTCTTCTCTGGAGTAAAACACAAGTAGGTCTATAATACCTCGAGCATTCACATTAATATCAATGGCAATTGCTCAAATGGCCTCCTGGAAGCATGTGACCTGCGTGTTGCTGTCTCTGCTTGAGGGCATTCAGCCAATCACCTGCGCCATAACTGTCATGTGACTAATCACTCTGGAGCCACAGGAAAATGTCATCCTGACAACATTGACTGGTTGATAAATCCACAGGAACACACACACACACACACACAATCCCAAAGACTTCAGTAGTGACTGAGCTGTGACACTGAAGTCGATAAAAACATTTTCCCCAGATTGGTGGAGCTGTATGTATAATACTTAAGAGAAAGATAAAACTATCTTTAAAATAACACAATATTTTATTTATTTATTAATATATTTATGTATTAACATTTTTATTGACATTTATTTAAGGCATTTTTGTTTGTTTGTTTGTTTTCGTTTTCCATTTATGGCTGATTGTTTGTTGACATCGCTGTCCATGTATAGAAGTAAAAAATATTATGATTAATCTCATGATTACCATTTTCTTTTGAAAGCACAATGAAAACGTAATTATGCAAAATAATTTTGTTTTATATTATTAATTTTTCTTCTCTAGACGTTTACACAGACATCCTAGCATCCTTGTGTTTATTTTTCCCTACACATTTCCCAAACTAGCCCCCCCCCCTTTTTGTAAAAGTTAATATTTCAATAATTTAACATTGCATATTCACACATTATCGGCTGATGATCAAATGACATGCAAGTAAACAATGTTTTATTTTGATTACTTCTATCTTAAATGTATTTTATATGTATTTTTACACATTTACATATATGGCTATACAACTTGGCCAAAAATGTTATTGTGATTATTCTGTCATATACTGCGATTGCCAATTAAACTGCTATTTAATTGAATAAAAAAATGCCTTCTGCTGAAACACCCAGACACAAAGAACAAAGACTCGACTGCTATGGAAACAGCTGCTTTCCAAGTGTTCAGGGTTCAGCCTTTATAAGAGGCAACTAACACTTCAAGTTACAAAAGTAAAATTAAATATCTAATTACATTTTTTTTTCACTTTCAAACGTTAAAAGCCTTGAGATTTTAACATCAAATTCTCAAGCTTTTATTTTGATACAACACTGATGAAATGCTGTCATTTACTATTGCAATATTAATTTGAATGGGAATACAGCGCACACTGCATTCCCAGATTCACATATTAATGCAGTGCTTAATTAATGCAATTATTCGCTTTTTTCAACTCATAAAGCCCTGTTTGGGAAACCCTGAATTATATGATTCACAATGATTCATGGGATGAGTAATATTCATTCCTGTTTATAATGTTGTAATGTTATGATCCATCTTAGAGCTAGTTGGTTTGGTTTAAGGCTTAAAAAATCATTTTAATATAATACGTGTCTTTGATCTTCTTTAATAATGTTCAGTGCAATAAGAGAACATGCAGTCTCAAATGAAAACAGCTTCCCCAGACTACTAATGTGTTATTGAAACTAAATAAGTTATTCTGAACAAAACGTTTCTAGCACGATGAATACATGCCCGGACACATTTACATGTCAATAACCCGTTCAGTTTTCAGCAGTCTGGCTCATCCAGCCGCAGAAAGCAGGGCAGACTATTATTCTCAAGAAGATGCTAATAGTCTAGTTGGCACATAACTAATGATAAAAGCGAGGAAAGTTGGCCAAACTTTGCGCCGCTTCCGGCTGCCAGCCTTTAAAACGAGATCTGACCTTAAGCTTCTGCAGTACATAAACAATGAAAGTGCTGGCATAGATCTCATGTTAAAAATTAAACTGAACTGGAAGCATATCAACACACTGGCACTTTTTCCATGTTAAACTGGAGAGCTTTAACAAATAGTCCACATTTAACAATCACAGTACAAAAATGTCCTACACTCTTAAAAATAAAGGTGCATCAAAAGGTTCTTCAAGCGATGCCATAGAAGAACCATTTTTGGTTCCACAAAGAACCATTCAGTCAAAGGTTCTTTAAAGAACCATCTCTTTCTTACCTTTTTATAATCTGAAGAACCTTCTTTCGCCACAAAGAAGCTTTTGTGAAACAGAAAGGTTCTTCAGATGTTAAAGGTTCTTTATGGAACCATTTAGACAAAAAGGTTCTTCTATGGCATCGTGAAGCACCTTTATTTTTAAGAGTGTATAAAGCTCTTGTACTGTTCGATAGAGCTTTCCACTGTTTGACTAATCCCTCACTAGACGAGATCAGAATGCTTAATGAATGGACTAATTAAGAACTTACACTAATTAAAAGAAAACTAACTTTAATTAATGCTTCAGATAAGGGGCAAGCAGGGACAAGTGTAAGAGGATCTATTTTACTTAACTCGCACACACAGAGTGTGTTTGATTGGATTCACATTCACACACACATTTTATTTTTAAATAGGAACATACAATAGACGCCTAAATTGTTTTTATTACAGCTGTAAATTAAACCTACTAATTAAAAACTCTCAATAATTACTATAATTATTTTAATTGATGATACTTTTATACTAGGGGGCTGTTGAATGCTTGAATCTGATTGGCTGACGAACGTTCTGAGGTGTGCAATTAGCTTCAAGGAAATGCACGGCTAAAGTAGTTCCAGGAGGGTCTTGATTTCACTTCACTTTGCCAAAATGATTTCAGTTATTTCAAAGGTCCTTTACAGCCTAAAACAGCAAAATAGCCAAAGCCCACAACAACACTGACCTAGCAAATAAAGCAACAAATAAAGCAAACAACAGAATGTTTTCGCCACAAAATTAATAATTCAACAGCCCATTGTCAATTATTCCTTACATATTTTACATTATTTATGAAACAATTTTCAAACTGATAACATCTTTAAATGTCCTCAATATAGGAGGTTTTGCCAGATTTTGTGCACATGTGGTACATATACTGCATTTCCCGCAAACCCCACCCCACCCCACACCACACACACAGAGGTACTTACTGATGCACAGGCTTTAACAGAAGATGAGATGGTTTCTCATTGACATGGTAGAGTGGGAATGGCTCAAATCCACCAATAAAATCAACTGAAACCAAACAAAAGATGAAATTAAAGAACGAAAGAAATGAAACAGGACAATGAGCCATGAAGAGAACAAATGAAACATGAAATGATAATTGCTATGTAAAAACCACTAACAGACAAAATGCATTACAGAAATATGAATATTGTGAACATTAACACTGTAATATCTACTGAGACACTTCACATTACACAAATCAGACCATTATTAACAATGAACTGTGTGTACATATGAAATGTGATATGATAACTCTTACACACACATTTGTCTAAGTTTGACTAAAATTCAAGTACATGAAGTTTTTTTTTCTGTATCTGTACAAAACTCTATTCGATTTTACTCCCTCCCTCTCTCTCTCTATCTCTCTCTCTCACACACACACACACACACAAACGCACGCACGCACACACACAAACAAACACAGAGAGACAGAGGAATGAATAACAGGTTTCTGAATGAGTGATTTTCATGATCAGATGTCTGGCCTCATTCAGCCCGGTGTGCTAGACTCCACACCAAGAATACAGACACACACACTCTCATTCCTAACTTATATATAGCAAAAAAGGAGGGAGAGATTGCCCCCGCGTCCCAATTCCAATAGCACCTATTTTAAATATAAGTGAGATTAGAATGAGCCCCAAAGCACAGCATGTTCAAAATAGTGTGCAAATGTGCCCAAATCGTGCAGGATTTCTGCTGGGAGTTTTAAAATATGCATCAAGCCGTTGCACTATGAAGTTTGTGAGTTAAAGGGATTGTTTACTCATAAATTACAATTGTCATCTTGTATTCAACTTTATTCATTCTGATCTCACAATACAAATTTTCTATTGTGAACACAAATGGCCATTCTTGTCCATACAAAGAAATTTACTGCACTTCAGTATTGTAGTACATTATAAAACAGTATGCAATAATAACGTATTGAGTGTAAATTATAATTTTAATTATTAAATGGATGCCACCTTATTGGCACAATAAAGCCCTCCCTACACCTACCCGATACTTTATTTTCAACTTTTTTATTATTCCCTTAATTTTTATTGAAAATAAATGCCTTTACGATGTGATACGAGATTTGAAAAGGGAGAAAAAAAAGTTCGGCAAAAGGCGGATCGAACCCGGGTCGATCACGTCAAAAAGCCAACAGCACACACTTATCCATCTGCACCACTGGAGCTGATGTTCTACAGCCACTTTTAACTAAATCTAAATATATACTCCGTATTGTTTGATTGACAGATGTCTCGTCCAGTCAGCGGTGAGTAATCCCAAACCAATGGCGCTGTCTCAAACTATACCTACCTCTTCCGGTTTGTCTGATTTGTCGTTGTGTTTTCTGACTTGTTATTTTGTTTTCGGATTTGTTGTTGTGCTTTCTGACTTGTTAATTTGTTTTTTAGACTTGCATTTGCGTTTGTAATTTGTTATTTTGTTTTCAGAATTGTGATTTGCTTTGCACTTCTCGGCCACCGTAGTTTTAGCTGTGAAAGCACAAACAAACCTTTCAGTCAATCCATAAAACTGCAACAGACGGCAATCTCAAGAGCAATTTCACCTTCATGTTTACGCACATTAAACATACAGCAGGTTGGAAAATAGCAGGGCTGGTTTGTTTATCACAAACGACAGGCTTTGAGCTCATAATGTGTCATTAGTGTTTGCAGGATCTGTGGCGCTCCAGAGAGCATGAGCGGCGCTGCTATGTGAGGAATGCTGGGAAGGCAGAAGTTATTCCTACTAATGTGAGTAAATGGAAAACTTCAAACATACTTTAAGACTTGTTTAAAGGGTTGGTTCACCCATAAATTAAATTCTGTCAGCGTTTTCAAGACTTTGGTTAATCTTCGAAACCCAAATTAAGATATGAACAAAATTAATAAGCTAAATGTTCCTGTGGCTCAGTGGAAGAGAGCACTGCGTTCGCGGCGCAAAAGATCGCGGGTTCGATTCCCAGGGAACACTGGTCAAAAATGAGTAAGTCGCTTTGGATAAAAGCGTCTGCTAAATGCATAAATTATTATTATATTATAAGAAACACTTAAAGTATTTAAAAAAATATTTTTATAAAACGGATAGTTCCGGTGCTTGATTCTGATTGGCTGAGCCATGTTTGAAGCTGTTGTAAATTACTCTACAAACATACACCTTTGTTTACTTCTGTGTGTTGCTCGGCAACCACACCTGATTCTGAGGAGCTAAATTGTTTGGTGGAAGAATACTGTTTTTATTAATATCATTACACTTTATTTGCTCTGTTTTATTTAGTGGAACCTTACTACATATATGGAATAACCGTTTTATAAAAGCAATAAGCCCCGTGAAGCCGTGGTTTACAGTGAATTTATAACAGCTAAGGGGGTTTTAGGCACTGCGCTTCGCGTCTGTAATCTGTAAACCACATCTTCTTGGGGCTTAATGCTTTATTAATATAACCTGAGAGCAGTGGTGTAGTCTAAGTGCTACGCAGGTATACGCCGTATACCCACTAGGAAAGGTGAAGGATTTCCGTATACCCACTTAAAAATGCGCGAGGATAAGTAATGGAACAACATCGTTTTGTAACAGAACTTCCACACGTTCATTCATAAATTCACCCCGTCCTTGTTGCGAAGCACGCCGTGTTTCTGTTGATGATATGAAACGAAAGCAAACTCAAACGACACTCTTTCGGTGTTTTCGTAAGCCTGCCTGCCCCCTGAAGCAGATGACACGAATTGCTTGAATGTTTTAATTGGCAAGGCTTAAAAAACGTGCAAATTATTACGTTTCGTGAGGACGCACAAGCATCTTGCACACTGGCCTCTGGACATCAGATAGTCACTACCTGACCTGGTCATGATCAAATATGTTAGCTTTGCTTGGCGGCATAAAGGAAAAGTATGCAATTATTTGTAAATTGAACTGTCTGAAAATGAAAGTAAATGAGGGGATTTGAAAGATTTCTTATCCTGTGGCTCCCTCTAGTGGACTGCAGTTGTCCTCTAGAGAAGGCATTTTTGCTCAGCCAATGCAAGTCTTTGATTTTTGATAATTATTTATAAAAAAAACTTTAAGTCTCATCAGTTAGAAAAGATATAGAAACAAACAGATCAGGTCCAATGTCTCTGACGAGTTTGAGTTGTCCTCTAGAGAGGGCATTTTTGCTCAGCCAATGCAAGTCTATGGGAAATCTTTGATTTTTTTATAATTATTTATACAAAAACTATTAGTATTATCAGTTAGAAAAGATATAGAAACAAACTACAGATCAGGTCCAATGTCTCTGACGAGTTTGGTGCCTGTAGCATTAAAGCCCTATGAGGATATACAGTAGGCTACAGTTGAAAAGTATTGGTCTCAGAAGAATAATAAGTTTAAATAGTAACTTTCTCAAGCCAACATATCTAGCTAATAACTTAAGTAACGTTAGTGTAGTGGATCAGTGAATGTGAGATAAGGGGAGAGATAACATACATACTGTGTGTGTGTGTGTGTGTGTGTGTGTGTGTGTGTGTGTCTACAGCAGTTAAACCGAATACAATGTTTATATCTCCTTGTTTCAGATGATGAGAGAGATTAGAACTCCTGATCAACCTTGTGGACTGAAAGTCAGGCAAGGGAATTTAAAAACAGGCACTCTTAAATGTGCATTGAAAATTACCAGCTGATAAAACCTATTCTCCAGGGACCATATTCTTAAGATAAATGTAACTGGCTGAGTTAAATGATTAACACTAAGCAGTAAGAAATCAGCTGTAAATGTCTCCCCAGCTGTAAATGTCATTGGCTGTTAAAGTCTTCTGTTGCTTATAATAAATTGACATGTTGATATCACATAAGCAGTCTTTCAGAATGCTCTCAGTTACATAGATGCATATTGTAAAGTGAGTGTGGTGGTGCTTATGGGGTGTCGCTGTGGGACGGTGAGTATGAGGCTGGGAGGGAATATCAGAGTATCCCCACTACAAAAAAACTAGACTACACCACTGCCTGAGAGGTTTCTTTCCCTCCATTAAAAATCCAAATAACCAAAAACGTAGAAGAGCCAAAAAGATCATAAATGCATCATAATTCAAATCTAAATGAATCAAATGGTTTGATCCAAGTCTTGTGAAGAGACACAATCTCTTTATATGATGAACAGCTTTAATTTAGTCTTATTTACATCTAAGCAATGATCGACATGCATACATACAGTGAATCACATACAGTAAACATGGAAGCTCAAACGGATCTTTAAAGTTTTATGGGTTTGGAATAACATGAGGGTGAGAAACTGATGTCAGAATTTTCATTTTTGGGTGAACTGTTCCTTTAAGTAAGTTCTAAAGTGTGAAACACCCACTTCCAGAGCAAACCACCACTCATTTCCAAGATTTTGCTCATCCACAAACCACTTTCAGCACCAAAAACAGTCATTAAAAATGTAACCTAATAAATACAAATGATCAACTTCAAACACGAGATGTACTAAACTACTAAAATGTAATAATAGAATTAAATCAAATTATGAACAAAGCGTCAGAAGAGAAAATGTCAGTAATGAGTGGTATACTTTTTAAATAATTAAAAGTTAAATTGCAAATTCGTTATTGTATTGTCTGTCCAAACATTCTAGCAGCTGGGGATATTTGTGTGATATGATTAACTATACTGGCTAAAAGATTTATTTTCATATGCAGACCGTTTCTGCGGTGGAGAGCGTGCTTTATAGACAAATGAATCTGAAGCAAAAGGAGGCGGAGAACTGTAGTACAACTATTCAGAAGTTACCCGCTAGGCGCTATTCATTTTCAAAAAGAGAAGTGGGTGGAATGAATAGCAGTCACAATACTGTGAAAATACCTCAGTTGAGTGAGAGAATTTGAGTGCATGTCTCGATGTATGCAGATCTGAGAACACTCTCTCCATAAGCAACTGCCAATATTGTCCAGGTATAATAAATATTTGGTAACACTTTAGAAGAGGGAATACACATTAAGAGGGTCACCTATTAAGGAACTCTTAATTTGCAGTTT